ATAATAATAATAATAATAATAATAATAATAATAATAATAATAACAATAATAATAATAAAATAATCAATCATAATAATATATCAAGAGAGGGCTGAGGACTATCGTCCTTTACACAAGAAAACGACTACCGGCACCTTACAAACGACTTATTCACAGCATAAACAAAACCGACAAACGGACCTCAAACAGACCGACTTAATTTGACTAACAATAGAGGGAACTCAAAGAGACCGACTTAACTTGATTAACAATAGACGGATTGAAAGTTACAAGAACGATAGCCTGCTGACAAACTTTACACGAGTCTTTCAGCCAATATATAGGCGAATCTTTGCTGACGTCATTGTTTACATTTTTCCTCATTAACATACGACTTTGCGCATAGAAGGCATCATACTAGACACGATTTTACTAGAAAAACGTAAAGAGCTTGTGAAACTTAGTAAGTGGTGAAATTTTTGGCCCTTCGGGTGTAATATTCGAGAAGAAAATGCCTTTCAAAAACATCAAAATTTCTGTGTGTCAAAGGCGCTAATGAGCTCATACATTCTTTGTAAGATTTTGAGCTTTTAAACCCTCGTTGCACAAAAAGTTTTCAATACATCGCGCTCAAATTCCTTGGGACAGTTAATCGTGCTGTGCCCTTTCAATATTCAGTATTGATCTCTTTGTAGCTCCATCGGAAACTGTATCGCTTATGGTAATGAGGCAAATATTGTAAACAAAGATTCTCCTATACCATCACGGCTAAACGGACCATTCACTTTTAACGGACCAGACCTACAACACCCTCGACTGACAAACACTATTCACTTGACTCTGAAGATGACTTCAGCTCAGGTTGACGAAACGCCAGTCAGCAACAACAGGTCTTTTCAGAACTAGTCTCACCCATAATAACCAACCATAACTGCTCCTCTTACCTGAGACTGCTGGATGACGCTTTCCACGGCAGGAAGGGTACCAGCTGGGTCTCGCTTCATGGCACCACACAAGAGCTGATAAGCCGTGCTTAGGTAGTAATGCACGTACCCCATGGTGTCTGGACTCTCTGCACCAGAGTTTGGAGCTGGGATACCCTCGGCTTTGATTTTGATCGTCTAATAATTGCAAAAAAAAATTATAACTTGATTAATGTCGGTGAAGATAACAATGATAATAATAATTATGATATGGATTGTGCTTGTCGCCGAAATAACGCGCGCTCTGATTGGCTAATTCTACGGCATTCCTCTCTCGTAATGCCCACGGGCCGACTGTGGGCCTGTAGCAACCATACAGCCTGATCACAAACAACTTATTAAACTCAAACGTTCGGTGTTTAGGGGAAAATCTCAAACCTCGGACTTGTCATATTGACCGAGCGATCGGTTTGAGATTTTTCGTAAAGATCTGACTCTCACGTAATTAGTACTCTCATAGTGAACACACTTACATCATTGTCAGCCGTGTCTGTGGCTGCAGCTTCAGCTCCTTCAGATAGGACGGCTGGTGCAGTGGTAGCCTTGGAGGTAGAGGCAGCTGCATCAACTCCACTGTTCAGCAAGCAGCGCTTTGATTTCCTTGCTGGCTCGCCGACATCTTTGTGCACAGAGCAGCTCGCGCTGGCCTGGCCAGACACCTCACTGGCTGTTTCAGAGGCTCGCTTCCGTTTCCTCAAGGTTCTACTGGACAAGCTTCTCTCCACTGCTGATAATAAAAGTGATATCAAAAAGCTAATTTAGTGCCAAGTTAAGCTATGAGAGCATATGAGAGCATATCTTGTTCAACTATATAGGACTGAAATTCCAAACACTTCATTATGTAATATATCAAACGCGAAAGACCGTGTTTGACCACACTTCCAAACATCGAGAAGATAGTTGAAAATACGACGCGCAGCAGATTATTTTTGACCGACGCTGAGGTGTTTGGAAATGTCGTTAAACACTGTCTTGAATGTTTGATATATCTTCTCGGATCAATCGAAACTAAAACTAAGGAGAAAACGGAGGTTGAAATAAAATCGTAAAAAATCTATCGTAATTAAGATCCGATATCCAAACACCGTCACGGTGTTCATGATTTCCTTTGTTTAAACATGCCAAGTTAGTTATTAAAGCATTTGATAAGAGACTGTTGAACAATAGCACATGAACATTCGGCAAGAAACCACAACCTTGACTATCTCAGTGGATGAATAAAGTGGCCTTTCAGATACTTGTTACCTCGGTCGCAACATCAGGGTACTGCCAGGCACTTTCCGTTGACATAGAAAACGATCTATTTGTATTCGCAATCAACTTTAAACTCGAACTTCAAAGTCCTTAAACTTAATAGAGAGCTTAAGCAAACCACTACTGCACCGGCAATAAGAACGCCACCAAACTAAGGGTTTTAATGAGTAGAACAATGGCTGTGCAAGTCCGTTATAAATTTTTGTAGAGTTCTTTGCCGTGCTCTGCACAACAACAACATGACATAACTAAGCCCTGCGTATTTTGGAGAACGCAAACGACAGCAGCTAATGTTTCGTATTTTCATTTGGATTTGAACGCTGACGTTTGAGCAATTTTTCAGACCAATAACATAGCTCGACAATTGCGAAATTCAAAGGTAAAATATAAACTCATTTTTTATTGGGCGTTGTCCTCGGGGTCGCCGTCGTCATTGCTTAAACTCGCTAAAACTCGGCTGTGAAGACAATAGAACAAGAAAGAAACAATACATGTATCGCAATGAAACCTGCAAGCACTTAATTGAACCAAGGGTATCACAAAGTGCTTACAAGTTGCATTGACGTCATAATTGTAGGCAGTAATCTTACTGTCATCAGAGGAAGTTGTTTCTTTTGTAGCCACAGCCTTGGCTGGCTCGTGTACATCCAGTGAGGAAACCTTTTCTACAGGCAGAGTGATCTTATCCTGAGAGCGCCCTTGCACTGCCGGAATACCATCACATGTGGTTGCAGCAATCTTCTCGTCGTCAAAGTTGGTTGTTTCTTCTGAGGCGACGGCCTTAGTTGGCTGGTGTACTTCTAGCGAGCCAATGTTATCCACAGGAAGGGCGGTATCCTCGGACAAAGCTTCCTCTGCTGTGATGACACTGCCATCATATGCGCAGGCAGTGATCTCAACCTCATCAAGGTTAGTAGTTTCTCCTGTAGCCACAACCTCTACTGGTCCATGTACTTCGAGTAAGGAAAGCTTTTCCACAGGCAGAGTGATATAAGCCTCGGAAGGCGTTTCCCCTACCATTAATACTTCTGAGGCTGCACTGAAACTATGTATGGACGAAATGACGTCACTCTCATCAGTGATAGGTGTTTCGTCAGTCGCAATGGCTTCAGCAGGCTTGAGTACATCCAGTGAGGTAACCTTTTCCACAGGCAGAGTGATATCTTCAGCAGACCCGACAACTCCAAAGAAAACTTGTGGAGCTGCACTGACATCATTTATCGACGCAGCGATCTCAATCTCATCCTTGCTGGTTGTTCCGTTTGTTGCAATGGCTTCAG